CCGGCGGAGTTAGTGGACTGCCGGGCCACGGCGGAGAGGAGGGAGCTAGGAGCCATGGTGGAGCCGACGGGTCCACGGCCCGAGGCGGAATCCAGGGCTTAGAGGCTGGAGGTGGAGTCAAGGGATACTCCAGCCCTGGCAATGCTGGAGGATGGCAGTCTCGCGGAGCTCGCACCGTGCTGATGGTGGGCTGAGGGCGAAGCTCTCGCACCTTGACTGACGTCACTTGCAGCTCCGGCTCTGCTGCGATCCGTTGCTCTGTCACTCCATGCGGCAACGGCTCGTCGGCCGCAGCGAGCTCGGGCTCTCTGTCAGCGGTGGGCTCTAGCATGCGCTCCACGCAGCAGGGAGATGGTGGGCTGGGCACTGGGTCCGGGGGGGGGCACTCCACAAATGCGGTGAAATTCGTTCGAGGGCCTTCCTTGGACGACGGCGCTCTGTACGTGAAGTTTAAACTGGCGTAGTAGAACGCACAGGACAAGGACCAGGAACAGTCTGGTATGGCCCTCGAGTGATTTTTCCCCCTGCTCCAGCAGGAGGAGGAGGTATTCAGGGTGAAAGAGGGGATCCATGGACACAATGGAAAAAAAAAAAAACGGAGGGAACACACAGAGGTTACTGTTTTGGTCTGGTATTCTGTCACAAATGCTACTGTGAGGAGCAGGGAGTGATGAACGAGGAGATGTGGAGTAAACTTCTAACAAACAGATTTTAATTAACATCCAATGGAACTAGGAACACACACGTAGCGGGGAAAGACGAACATTCAATACCAGACAAACTCAGAAAGCACAGACAGGACCTTAAATACATGGGGTAATTGACAACACACACCTGGAAATAATGAAACAATTAACATGGGAAAACTGGGTCAGGGAAAAACACACAGAATGAGTCCAGGGGCGTGACAATAACATACAGCAAGTCTTCTTCTTATTCAATATAAGCATGTTGTTGTGAAACCATTTTTGAACCAAATTAAAATCATATTGTAAAGAATTGTGGATTTGCATGAATCAGAATTAGTGGTGTAAATAACAGTCATCAGCATAAAGATGTACAGAGCAATTTAAGCATATTTGAGATAAATCATTAATAAAAATAGAAAAAAGTAGTGGACCCAGAGTAGAACCTTGAGGAACACCTTTTTCAACAATCGAATAATCAGACTGAAAACCTTGGAATACAACATACTAACGCCTGTTGTGCAGATAAGCATTAAACCAAAGAAGAGCATTTCTGGTTAAACCAATGGAAGACAAATTATCGAGAAGAAGGTAATGATTGACCATATCAAAAGCCTTTGAAAGATCGATGAAAATGTCACTTGTGGCTTGGCCTTTGTCAAAGGATGAGAACACACCATTTGTGAATTTTAAAAGGGCAGTAGTAGTAGAAAAGTTGGGTCTGAAACCAGACTGAAATGGCAATAGAGTATTTGGTGACCTAATATAAAGAGATAATTGTTTACAAATAAGTTTCTCAAAACTTTTTGTAATAGAACAAATAATAGAAATTGGACTATAATTGTTCACATCGGATGAATCTCCACCTTTGAACAGAGGAATTACTCTTGCACATTTCCATATAGAAAGAATAGAAGAAGTTGACAAAGACAAACAAAAAATACAAAGTATATTAAGTAATATCACTGCAATTTGGCCAAAGGCATAATATTTGAAATATTGCATGATTGCGAGTATGACATTGCTTTTATACAAGTCCTTGGCAAGAACCGTCATACTGTACAATAAGATAACACCTTAGTCTTTTCTTTAAAAAATTAAAAAATAAATAAATATATAAATAAAAATATGTATTATATGTAGATAGTGTTACATTCTAATGTTTAATATTTGAAACAACCCAATAAATTCATTAAACTTAGTAAATTGAATAAATCTTATTATTGAGAATTTAAGACAAGTTGTGTGTTATCCTAACTTTAAGAAGTTATTTACAATAATTTTTAAGAACATTATTTTCATGAATTTAAAATATTATCAAGTTTAGTCTATAGAACAATCGATAAGAACATTCTGGTTCTTAGAGTGTTTTTGGGAATACAAAATATTTGTACCTTTACACTTAGTTTAGAAAATAAGAAAAAAGTTAAGAAGTTAAGAAGAATTTTATTTTTAAGAATGTTTTGTGAATCAGCACGAATTAAGTGAATGATTCAATCACTTGTTTGACACAATGGCAACATTCATTGTGTTTTTCCTGAATGAATTAGCACTTTTGAATAAATCCATTGATTCACTCAAAGACACTTGCTGTTTTCTGTGTATATATTTATAATACTTTTTGACTGATATGTGACCTATGACCACTCAGATCTCATTTGCTTTATACCTGCAAACATAGAATCTGCAACTACTGAATAATGTGTTTACCCAAAGGTCATATAGTAGTCATGTTGCACAACAGTTTCCCTTTCCATACTTTACCCTTCTTTCAATCTCCGTCCCTGAGTTATTCTTCACCTTGCCTCTGTCTCTTATACCTTCTTTCGTCTTCTCTATCACCCTTTTTACTTTCTGATAAAGTATTCAGTTTCCCTCCTTGCCCCCTCCCCCTCAAAGGCCCTACGGAGGCTTAAACGGTGGCTGTGTTGAAGGGGATGGATGAACTGAGTGTGATGGTGTTTATTATGATGAATGGGCTGCAGTCTACAGATCAGCACCATGTGCAGACTGAGAGATGATTCACTCTGACAGCCATGTCATGTAGCCTAATATAGTTATACATTCATATAACAGAGAGAGAGAGGAGAGATAAAGCGAGAAAGAATTACATTTAGAAACTGCCCAATGATCATTGTGAAATGGACAAGTTAAATCTCTCATTAGTATTATTATTAATCCATCCTTGTTTGTTTTTAATGAACTCTAATCGACAATCTGTAAGGTACTGATTGTTGTCACATGCAGGTCAGTTACCTGTGCCTAAAGATATAATTATTTTAAACTTTAACTTCACTGACCTGATTTTCTTGTTCGTTCCTATGAATATGCCCCTTTCTTTAGTGAATCAGGCCTGAGGGAGACAGGGGCATGTATGTTGTACACTAACAGTAGAGACTACCAGATCCTGTCATACATCAGTGCATAATTATGCCAGAGGCCCTATTACTGGGGCAAAGGCAGATTTGTGATCTGACATAAAGTGAGATGGCTGTATTAATCGGGATAGTTAAACAGGATGTCGCTAGTTTACCAAGCTCGTAAGATGTCACTTATCTGATTTAATAAGCTACAGCATAGATCCATGCTTCATTCACTTAGCAATGTGAACTCTTTCTGTCAGCTTTAAAAATCACACTAGCCTTTAATTGAAAATTTGTTAGTAAGGGTCATAAATGTAAGCATAATTATTAAAAAAAACTGTTAAATAATAACTATTAAAACTAGATATTTACATTCTCAAAACGTTCTGGGAACCACAAAAATTGTTAGCTGGGTTACTGCAATGATTCATTCTGTATTAATTTGCAAATCGCCAGTTCTGATACTAAACTGACAGAAAACACACATGACATGAACGCTGAAATATTGTAAGGAAAATGATTCTCAGGTCTCAGATCTAATCTCAATTGTTAGTCAGTCAGTGATATTAGTAATATTTTAATGTATCATTCATAGTGTACTGAGACAGTATTTCACTAAAGTCTAGCGATGCACCTGGTGGTAAGGATTTTTAAGTGTTCTGCAGATTACATTGATACGCTAATAGCTGGTGACAAGTGAATCACTTTAAAAGTGATTAATTAAACCATGTATTATAGTGTCACAAAGCAAGGCCAGACACAACAGGTAAGTGCAAATCAGGATGGTTTATTGACTGGGTAAGGGGATGACTGGAATAGGTGTGTTAAAGGCAGGTGAGTGTCAACACAGTGAATGGTTCCAGGGTGCTTATCTGAGTTCTGATGGTGAGGATCGGATGCCGGTTACGTTGGAGATCGTGGAACAGTTTCCAAGGAGTCGTTGGAGGATCGTGGGAGGAACAGCAGGTAATTCGTTCTAGGAGAATTTGGCAGAGAGAGTCCAGAGAAGTTCGTAGGAGTGAACGGTAGACCGGACAGTGAGTGACTGTGCTGTGTGTGTATTTGTAGTGTGGCTTGATTGGTGACAGCAGGTGCGGGTGATCAGAACTCAGGTGACTGTGATCGGGTAATTATCCTGGATGGTGACTGAAGTGACTGTGATGAATCCCTGACATATAGAGGTTTCATTTAAACCACTGATTAATGAAGGAGCATTAATGCATACTGCTTGGAGATGAACAATGGTCAATTCTATTTTGGCTTCTTTAGGAACTTTTTTCATATGTGGAACAAAAATATACAAAGCAAATGGTAATACTACCATCTAAAATGTAAATATTTCTTGTTTATTAAGCTATATAAAAGCAAATATCGTACTTGTGCTGGGAGTCTGACTACCAGCTGAATCAAATCTGTGCTTTATTATTTGCCATTGTTTTATTTATTTCCATATAGAAACTCAGGACACACTTATGTGTTGACATCACTATAGGACATTTTTCAGTTTGAACCTGGTTGTTAAATCTGACGTCACACGTCGCCATTTCCGGATCCAAACACTCAATCAGATCTCAAAACCAACATTAAATGGTGCTCCAATCACAGTGCTGTAGTACAACCAAAAATGATACTAACCTTTATCTCCATAGCAAAATCTTAGTTGGCCAGGCAGTGATTATTTATTAAAAATGTTAAAATATTGGTGTCTGAGACACTGTATTTTTTTAAAGCATAGTTGAGATCTTGGAGTAAAGATTTGGACCCTCAAACATTCTCACAACTTAACAAGCCGATAAAAAGGTTAAAGCCTAGTTTATGGAACAATTATAGATGAAATTGCTTCATAAGGGGTTGTGGTGATTGGAACGAGTCACTGAGAAGTCAGATCAATAAACTCTTCCCTATGGAGTTGATCCTATTCATGCTAGAAATGCTCTTTTTATCTTTACAGGTCGCGACCTGGCCAGCACCACGCTCCCTGGTTACCCTCCTCATGTTCCTCCAACTGGGCAGGGTAGTTACTCCACACCCTCCCTCACAGGGATGGTACCTGGTGAGTCTCACTTGCATATATGCATGTCAATCAATTGTTAACTCCATCTACACAAACTTCACATACACAGAAACAACTATTTATGTTCCCATCATACTAGGTTGAGTTCTTTAGATTTTTTTGGCATATTTCTAAAGAAGGGAGTGTCGATGAAAATAACAGATAGGCTAATTTTCATACATGTGCCACCCTCATTCTTTCTCTCTCATCCTCTCCCGCTCGTCCTGCTGTAGTCACTCTCCCAATACCCCCTTTTCACCTCTGCTTTATTTCAGTTGAGGTCCCAGTGGGAGGGGGTCTTGTCTTTGCCACTTCCTGTCTCCCCCCATCTGCCAGGTTGACAGCACTCCCAGGGGGTTATGGGATGGGGAAGGGTGGGGGGTGTTGGGTGGTTGGCAGAGTGTGGGGCGGGTGGACTGGCTTTGAGTCTTTAGCTGGAGTGGCTGGACTATTAGACCCCAGTCACACAGCTGTCCCTTCTCAACATCAGTAATTTGTTTTTAATGAGAATCATCACTGACCCTTGACTAATTCATTCATTCTCCTGCAGACTCCCTTGGCCTCCTTTCTTTTAGCTATTTTTTAATCCATAAGCCATTTCAGAATCACCAAAAAATACACATGAATTCTCACCAAGATATTCATATTCACAAACACAATAGCATGTAAATGGCTTTGAACACTGTTCACCTAGATACATACAGTATGTGACTTAAATAATACTACCTCATACATTTTTTCTTAATCCAACAACATCTGAAATTTTGAAATTAACTGAAAAACACCTACCTATTTGTTATTAAAATAAAAGCAGTTCTAAAGTTTTATTTATTTATTTATTTTTACTATTAAGGGTAGGGTTACAAGGCCTACGTTTTCCCGCTAAATTAGGCTACTTTTAA